CACTCGCCAGGCGAGCTCTTTTCATCTACCATTAAATAGAACATCTTTTGCACAAAAGACATTTGTTTTTACAGGTCCAAAACTGTGGAATTCTCTTTCAAATGACATTATACAGTGTAAGTCGATACAAATTTTCAAAAGGAGACCTAAAAGCTTTCTTCTGAATAGTATAGGCTATTGCATTCCTCAATCAAATATGATTTGTAGTGTGACTTTATGCAACTTTGATTGTTTCTTTTATGTATTTATCAATGTTTTGTGTTTAAAAGTGATTTTGTGTATTACTGCACCAGTTATTGTTATTGTTTTTTTTTCTTCTCATCAAATAATAATTGTAGCGGCAAGACTAGTTTGATAATGACCTTCTACAGAGGCAGGGTTAAGAGTAAACAAACTTGACCTCAAACTTGACCTTTGTGCTCCTAGTTTCGATGAAGGTCAGTAGAAGGTATGTGTCATAATGGCGAGGCATCGCCCAAAGAATAAAACAAGAGAAAGTAGATTCAGAAGTTGCAGTATATTTAGAAGAAAGCAGTCAAGGAATAGTATTCATCCCAGTAAATTGTGAAAGTCCCCAGGATTGCAAACAGTTGGTAAGCTAAAATTACATTGTTATCAAAGTTTATATCTGTGCTGTCACTAATTATACCATAATACTTGGTTCAATAACTTATTCATATTTCTGTATTTCTAGCTCAAAGTAGAGTGATGCCGGAAATTGGCACTTTGCTCTCCATCAAGCATTATACTGCATATACTGTACATGTATACTTGTACACACACATCAGTGGCGGATCCAGGGGGGGCCGGGGGGCCCGGCCCCCCCCCCCTTGAGAAAAAAATCATGTAAAATCACGTGATTTTTACCTTTTTGGGGGGTTGGGCCCCCCCCCCCCCTGGCGCTCAAGGGGGGGGGGGAGGGGGTGCAAATTGAAAAATTTTTGAGGATCAAAAAAAAAAAAATGTGCTCACTACCCCCCCCCCCCCCCCCCCCCCCCCCCCACCCCCCACTGAGCTAATTTTTGGCCGGCGCGTTTTTCAAATTTTCGGGTGAAAAAAAAAAAAAAAAAAAAAAAAATTGTGCTCTGTATACCCCCCAACCCCCCCCCCCCCCCCCCCCCCCCCCCCCTCCCCACTGAGCGACTTTTCGGCCGGCGCGATTTTCAAATTTTCGGGAGCAAAAAAAAAAAAAAAGTTGGGCCCCCTCCCCTAAGAAATCCTGGATCCGCGCCTGACACACATTGACAGTGATAGGCGTTAAGTCAGATTCAATCGATTTGCTATATAATTATAACAAAGAGATATACTCTCTATCTTCCATGTTTTTATTATGTGCTTGTGTTCAAAGGAACCCTTTATTGGTTGATTTATATAACAATATTATCTTTGTATTCACTATCTAAGAGTGAGATATAATTATGGTCATTTACACATATTATATTCGTTGCCAATCAATATATAATACATCAGCTATATTGTGTTTGGTTGTTTGGATGATCTCTGCGCCTAAGCATGAGATCATTAGTAGGTTATTATAACGTTGTAAAGTTGTATCAGTTTATCATTTACATATTTAGTGTTGTTGTTGTGAATTAGTTTACGAATCACGTATATGATCCATCATTACCGCAAGACTATTAGATATATTCAGATACTCATTCTGATAATTAATACAGCCATTTAAACACCGATTTGATAAAGTACAGTTGTTCATGGAATAACAAATATTCCATTCAATTATGAACAAAATTACATGTCATTGATTTCCTTGTATGTATATACATTCATATTAGTATCTAGACAAATTCTTTGTAGGCATATATTGAAGTTGTTAACTAGATAGACAGTCATGTTTGATTCATGTTATTGTTGACGATGTATATTAACACTGTATTTGTATTTATTTGTTTGTTTAGCGAACCGCTGGTCGCTAAGGCTCTGTTGGCTGTATTTTGGTGTCTGGTCTTTGATCTCTGGTCATCATTAGTACGGAAGAAGTTGAAGAAAAGAATAAACAGACTAGAAGTTAAAACTACTGTTTCAGGACTCTTCAATCAGCGTGTTTGAACTTAAGCAATTTGAGAATTTCACTGTAGTCAGACAAGATACTACAATAATTCATAATAATTACTTTTACAGGGGGGCTTATAAGGCTCTGCTTTTTAGTCGGCCCTCCTTCCCTTTCAATTTCATGTTTATTTTGTTAATGTATTGTATTGTGCAAATTGATCTATATGTATATAAATATGTGAATATGTTAAAAAATTAATGTACCATCATTGTAAATATGAACGATTGAAAGAGGAAAAATAAATGAATTGAATTGAAAAAAATTGAATAATGAGGCAAATCGGCTTGTTTCATTCAGATTCTCGTTGAGCGCAACTCCCCCAATTTATGCTCACATGAGCTGCGAGATTTTCCACGAGATATTGCACACGTGAAAAGAATTGCATCGTCACCCCAGGCCCCAGGCCTTTCCTGTTTGCAAAATGGTTCGGTGAGTGTTTAGCAAATTCTGCTCTTGATTTTGATACTAAATTTGCTACTTTTAAAGAAAATTTTGGCTTAGCAAATCATCCGACAATATATAATGCGTAATTTTCTCAACATTTCTAGACCGTTTCCAGACGTAACTTGGCATTTTGCTAGTTCCTGCCCCGATTTAAATTCGTTTCTGCCAGCTGTTTCAATGTTCGGAAACTGCACGAGTTGGCGGGAGTGAATCATTGAAAATTCGATAGGGACAAATTCTTTAAGTAGATGTATTTTGCCTCTAATTTTTTTTTTTTTTTTTTGTATTTATATATATTAAATGTTATCAAATGGATTTGGGGGAACTCCCCACTTTTTTCAAAAAGTTTTTAGTGCCGTGTGCAATGATAAAATGGCGCATATCGCAGTTCCATTGAACTGCGTGTAAACGACCTCTACGCGGAATGATATTAAAACATAATATAGTCTGAGATTTAACAAAACATCACTAAAGTAGAAAAAGGGCTAATATTTCATAAATATTATTACAAAAACATTGTACTTTGTGGAAATATAAATGTATAAATGTTTTTAAATATGTTTTATTTGAAAAACATGATTGAACTATTTTATGTGCGTCAGTATATCTTTTTTAAAGGGCATTGTGCTTCGGCGCGCCAAGCGTTCCATTGAACTGCGTATTTTCAGCTTGGACAGTTAATGTACAAGCTCAACACTAAACAATTACCTTTGCCTTTTAATGACATGTTCGTAAGAAATGATTCGATTCATAGTTACCTCACTCGCCAGGCGAGCTCTTTTCATATATCATTAAATAGAACATCTTTTGCACAAAAGATATTTGTTTTTACAGTTCCAAAACTGTGGAATTCTCTTTCAAATGATATTATACAGTGTTGTTTTCAATTAAATTCAATTCAATTTCGGTGTTATTACAAATATACCAAATAAAAAGTCCAATGAGGAACAATAATTGGCTTACAATGTATCATATGAAAATGCATTAAAAACAGTAGATTTAAAAATTCAGTAATAAGTTAAAGTACATTGCTCACATTGTATCATATAAAAATGCATTAAAAACAGTTGAATTACAAATTCAGTAATAAATTAAATAATGAAGAAAAAAAGAAAGATTGTAAGTTATAAAATGGTGATAATCAGTTTGTCAGTGAATTGAGAAGAAAGAAGAAATAAACAGTGAAAAGTGGAAGAGAGGGAGAGGGAAAGGATAACGAGAGAAAAAAGAATTTGATACAAATTTTCAAAAGACCTAAAAGCTTTCTTCTGAATAGTTACTAGGCTATTGCATTCCCTAATCAAATATAATTTGTAGTGTGACTTTATGCAACTTTGATTGTTTCTTTTATGTATTTATCAATGTTTTGCGTTTAAAAGTGATTTGTGTATTACTGAACCAGTTTTTGTTTTGTTTCTTCTCATAAAATAATAATTCATAATAATTACTTTTACAGGGGGGCTTATACCCTACAAGCTCTGCTTTTTAGTCGGCCCTCCTTCCCTTTCAATTTCATGTTTATTTTGTTAATGTATTGTATTGTGCAAATTGATCTATAATGTATATAAATATGTGAATATGCTAAAAAATTAATGTACCATCATTGTAAATATGAACGATTGAAAGAGGAAAAATAAATGAATTGAATTGAAAAAAATTGAATAATGAGGCAAATCGGCTGGTTTCATTCAGATTCTCGTTGAGCGTTAGTATACTCCCCCAATTTATGCTCACGTGAACTGCGAGATTTTCCACGAGATATTGCACACGTGAAAAGAATTGCATCGTCACTATCCAGGCCCGCGCCCCAGGCCTTTCCTGCTTGCAAAATGGTTCGGTGAGTGTTTAGCAAATTCTGCTCTTGATTTTGATACTAAATTTGCCACTTTTAAAGAAAATTTTGACTTAGCAAATCAGCCGACAATATATAATGCGTAATTTTCTTTACATTTCTAAACCGTTTCCAGACGTAACTTGGCATTTTGCTAGTTCCTGCCCCGATTTAAATTCGTTTCTGCCGCGTGTTTAATTTTCGGAAATTGTACGTGTTGGCGGGAGTGAATCATTGAAAATTCGATAGGGGCAAATTCTTTAAGTAGATGTATTTTGCCTCTAAATGTTCTTTTTGTTTTGTATATATATATACTAAATGTTATGAAATGGGTTTGGGGGAACTCCCCACTTTTTTCAAGAAGTTTTGAGTGCCGTGTGCAAAGATAAAATGGCGCTTATCGCAGCTCCATTGAAACCATTGAACTGCGTGTAAACGATCTCTACGCGGAATGATATTAAAACATAATATAGTCTGAGATTTAACAAAACATCACTAAAGTAGAAAAAGGGCTAATATTTCATAAATATTATTACCAAAAATTGTACTTTGTGGAAATATAAATGTATAAATGTTTTTAAATATGTTTTATTTGAAAAACATGATCGAACTATTTTATGTGCGTCAGTATATCTTTTTTTAAGGGCATTGTGCTTCGGCGCGCCAAGTGTTCCATTGAACTGCGTACTGTTTCAAAATATTATCTGTATCCTATGCTGTAAAAGTAGATTTCTTTTATCTGATGCCATTTTCATCCTGCGTGAGTTGAGGAGGAAGGTAAATATAAATCATACAAATGATTTAATTATTATTTGAGGTGAGAAAATGGTAGAAAATGAAAGTTATAGTGGTAAATTTAATGCGTATTTAATGATGTATTGACCTTTCCCCATTTGTTTACGTGTGTATTCAGTCACAGGTGTCACAAAACTAAATGTGCTACGATGGAAGATACAGCTCAACTTGTGGCAGTATGTCCTCCGGGATCAGAGAATATTTATCAGTATTTGAAAAGGCAGATGCCCCTTACAACAGAAGGCAATGCTACTGTAAGTTTATGTTCGCTTGTTTTTATTTCTTCTTTTCTTTTCTTTTCTTTTTTAATCATGGGCTGATGTGATGTGATCAAGTCTCAAGAAGAGAATTTGAGAAACTGTTTTTTATTTTCTTTCAGAAAAAAGTTAAACTAGTCTATTTGGTGGCTAGATCGATGGTTAGCGTGTAATTTCCTCTTGGTCTTGGTGTACACGGCCAGTTTATCCATGCGTACACACGTTTACACGGTTATGAAATTTACCGAAAACATAAGGAGTAGACTCTAGATCTATTTCAGCCACGTACCTTTTATGTATGAAGGGGTGACCAAAGTTCGCAGAGATTTTGAAAATATTAGAAAATGTGAATTTGATCCATGATTTCTCATATTCTACACAAATTTATTTATTTCAATTATTACCAAATGGATGACAAATTCTTTTACTACAAATTGGTTCAACTAGAAAATTTATCGTCATTCTGGAGATATCACAATCTAAAAATTTGATGTCGGATCAGCGTGCGCGCTGCAGTTAAAATAGTCATAAAACCAATGAGACCTTACTTTACGCATGGGGTTTACAGCTGATTTATTTTTAAATGTGATCCATCAAAAATAAGTTAATTTCATAATTTGCATGGCAAGATATCATACAATCAGTTGGTACCACTTCTTTAATAACAATTTTGAGGATATCTGCTCCCAAAATAAAGATTTCCAGACCCTTATCGGTTAGTAAGTAATTAGTCAGTACGGACGTAAATGACTGCAAAATTTGCTGATCTTTTGTCTGATGGGTGATTTAAAGTTCCTCTTTTCATTGGTAATATCAGATTTTCAAAATCTTACAAATTTTTTTGAGATGGCGAACCTGGGTTACTCGCGAACTATGGTCACACTGCCATACTAAAACAAAAAGAAAAGCGGGAGATTTTTAAATATTTTTTATCCGTGCAGTGGTGGTTTGTGCGTGTACACAGATAAATTTGTCACGGTCACAGCACTAGTGGCTGGGACCAAATTTTGTTTCATGATGATAAGCTACACACTCAGTTTACAATCTATGGCAAACTCATCATTTAACTATGCATATTTTTTTGATTTTCAACTCATTCTGGCTTCTTTATTATTATTTCTAGAAAAGATGCAAGTTGAACTGTTGAAAAAAGTATGACAGGCAAAAGAAAAAATTGAAATGCCAATTGACACATGATTTCAAGTCAATATCAATTCCTGTGTTTAATTTTGGTTGAATGGTCTTTGAGGAATGCATATTTAGGTCTAATAAAAGATCGCAAAAGAGCTGTCGTCGACAAGTCTTCCATTGGCAAGCTTGTTGATAAAACTATATTTTGACGGGAAGATGATTTGTCGACAAAGATTCAATGTTATAGACATACATCATAAAAGTGACCTAATAAATGTATTACTTAAAATACAAATGGATTCGTTGCAAAAGTGGGGTTTCTGGTTCAGAAAAATGTTCAGTTGTTACCAATATATATCAGCTTATATGGAGATGAACAGAAAGATCTTAATGTAATTATGTTGAACTTTCCGACGTATATCAACCAGTATGTAGCATCAAAAGGAGTCAAAGTAAGCCAACTGTGCATAAATGACTGGTTTTAAATGGTAGTGAAAAATTATACAAAATTAATGAATAAACTGAATTTAGGTTGAACCATCCTGGAGACCGCAAGATCATCATCTCGTTCAACAATGTCATCTACATGTACTAATCTGAAAAACTGTTTGTAACAAATTGCTTTTTATTCCTCCCCTCCCCCCCCCCCCCAAGTTTAGCTATTATTCTTTAAGATACTGGTGTTAAGAATGTCTTTTTTCTATTTGTCTTTATTTCATGCAGTGGGGGTCAATGCTCCATGTGTTGTGTGGCTCAGATAAAAACTCTTTTTTTGTGTGTGTGTGTTCACTGTATAAACTGGCCCTTTTTAGATAAACTTTCAATAAGTTTGACATCTCTTTCCATGTTTCCTTTCGAGATATTTATTTTGGCTTCAAGTTGTTATGTACATGTAACTTTTTACATGTAAGAGCAAATCACAGTTTGAATTTTGCTGATAATGAGTTGGAATCATTCAATCAGATAAATACCACCTGTGGGGTCTTTCATAAAGCTGTCCGTAAAGTTACGCATGACTTTACGAACGACTTGAATATGAAGTGCCAGATAGGATGCCCGAAGTTTTTCCTGATGTTTTAACAAAATGTGACTATATTTTCAATAACCTCAATTAAATTATGACAAAAAATGTTTGTTATAATAAGAATGTTACCACAGTTCAACTTCAGTTCCGCAGTTCAACTATAGTTGATGCAGTTCAAAATGATTGAGCATCCCATTCGGCTTTTCATATTTAAGTCACACGTAAAGTCATGCGTAACTTTACGAACAGCTTTATGAAACACCACCGGTCCTTTTTAGTTAAATTGTCAATTAAGTTTAACATCTCTTTACAGTTTTTCTTTCGAGATCTTTATTTTAGGATTCAAAGTTTTTACATGTAAGATCATCACAGTTTTATTTTTGCTGATAATGAGTTGGAATCATACAATTGGATAAAATACCACCTGTCATTTTTTTTCAGATGGTGATGGAGTTTCCCGATGTTGAACCGGCTCCACCCCCCTGCGACCATTCCAAAGGACAGAGCAAGACCCAACATGCTGTCATTGATGCCTTCCGTCAGGTAGGTTGTATTCATGACACATGCATGCTCCGGCAACAGTTGCTCTGCGGCCCGTTTGCCACTCCAGCTGCATTCCTAACTTCAGCAGTAAACCCAACACTATAAACAACACTAATCTTAAGGGCATCGTTTCACAATGTTAAATCTGAGATGCATGGCCCTACATGTACGTGTTATCAGTGTCTGTGATATGGTGTAATATTGAAGCCCTAAAAATTCCGCTTCAAAATGATCATGAAGTGCCTCAAAAAATTAAAAATCTTTGAGCGACTGGTTTTACCATACTCATTTTCCCCAATAGACTCTAGTACTATATAAATCATAAGGGAAACAAAAAATGAAAATTTGATTTCCAATCATAAATATCTTGATAATCAGACAGGCGATCGGCTTGTTGAAGTCATATGAGCTAAATCCAGGATTTTATTTCAGAATCTGAGGCAATGTTACTGAGTCACTTTAACCAAACTTTCAACCCAGTTCTCACACTAACCCTTGACAAAGTACATGTTGTGGAGCAAATGTCAAATCACCGTCGGGTATAAATAATTTTCAGTATCAATCGTCTAGCACAAGCTCAGAAAAATTGATTCTATTGAAGTTTTTAGAAATTTTACTTTGTCAGTTTGACATTTCTTAAAGAAAAAAGTATTATGATGATAACTATGATAATAATTATCTTACCTTCTCTCATCCATCTCTAATTTTTAAGCTACGGTCACAAAGCTTTGTACAAACAATGCGTTCGTACGTATCTCCCTGTTTTTCCATTGTCTTCCCAAATTTCCATTGTCTGAAAATCGTTCGTACGGCGTTCGTAGCAGTTCGTAATGGCATTTGTGACCGAGGCTTTAGACTTAAACTTCAACTTTCATTTGTGCTCCAGTACTTTGGTCAATACTAAAAAAAACTTTTCTTTACAAAAATGTAACTATTTATCTTCTTTACTTTTAGTATAGATGATGGAATGTTTGGAGTTCTACTGAGAAGTACCAATTGAAACAGATCAAGATGTATTTATGATCACGGATGTTATAAATATTGTCATCTTCCTTAAAAACCTGTGCATTATAAGCCCTACATTAAATGTTACCGGTATGTACATGTACATGAGGTATTCACCGTTTTAGATTTCAAATTTATGATCCTTAAATGGTAGGTCAGGTTGTCATTTTTTACAACGCCAAACAAAAAATATTTCAGAAAAAAATCAGTTTATTTTCTTGGTCAATAACTTGAGATAACATTATTTTTAATATGCAGCAAACATATTTCAGCATTTGAACTAAGGTTTGTCATTAATTTATTTTCATTTTTTTTCTGCAGAAATGTAGTATGCTAAATCGAGATGAACTTGCTGCAGCTCTCATGGTTCCAAGTAAAGAGATGTTTGGTTCGTCACTGCAAGACGTGGTGACATGTGTAGGGTGTAGAAGAAGGTAGGATCACCATATACTGTTCATGTATATGAGTCATTCCACGAAGTTGGGCCAATTTTTATGACATACCAGAAGTGAGAAACTATGTCTCCTATCAACTGTAACAATGCTTGCTCAAATTGAGTTTCGCATAAAAGGCATAGCCAACTATCTTCAGAAGTACTCAAGCTTCATGGTGAATCAATATTATGGACCCAAAGTTTATGCAATGTTATGGTGTCCATGTAATGCTGTTAAAAAGAGAAATGTATATTAAGCAAATCTTTTGAAGAAAGGCAACTGAAACAGGAACGATTCTGGCAGGGCACTACTATTTATATTCATTGCATAAAAATCTTCAACAGATAATTTTATCTTCCATGTGTAGTAGAAGATCTCATACCAACGTTACATGGACACCGTCATATTTGTTGCCCCAACTTCATGGAATGACCCGTAAACTGTAAAGAAATACTTGTACCATAGTCACACCGCCACACCAACTCCAGACCGACCGATTCTTGCCCATTCGGGGTAATGTAAATAATTGTTGTTCGGTTTGGTGTCCGTCTAGTTGGTGTGACAGATATCATATTCATGAAAACGGACTAACCTTGTTCAGCACTGTCTGCTCCAGAAATCATACTAAAACAAACTTAGTTCACTGATTTCTATATGGAGTTCCATATGTCTACATGTATGTCTTCATAAAGTTCAAGGTATTTCAATTTTGTCACAGAATGAATTCATCTAGATTACTGCCCTGTCATGAATTGAAGCAATAAATTGATTTTATGTCTGACAGGGACTTCTTGTTTATTCAGTATGTAGATTTTTACGAGATGAACAGGTTCACACCTCGTGCATCTTAACCAGTCGACCAATTCTACCATTGAGTCATGGTTCATAGCTGTGCTTAATTAACCTTTTAGGAATACTGGACAAAAATGTATACAAAAATGTATAAAGTGTGTTTACATGACTGTGTAACCGAGAGGATTATAAGAGCTCGTAACATGACAAAGGGATATTAGTTGAATTAGGGGATGAAGAAAAAAAGGAAGAAACCTTACGTAATTGCCAATTATACATTTACAAGACTTAAAAAAAATAAACATGGATTTATTTTTTGTTTTAATTTTTAAAAACAGTATCCACAAAGATCATAGATGTGAAACAATTAGATGTGCTGGACATAATTGATAATGAACATGTATATTTATGCTATATGTGAACAGTAAGGTATCATCTGGATTGACATGCTTTGATTCTACATTTTTGTGGGTTTGAGTTCAATTTGTTGTGCCTTTTCGCTTGACTTTTTCCTTGGTTTACCTTGATTATTGTTTTCTTCTTTGTCTGTTTCTACATGTAGTATGGAGGAAATGTTCACAAGGTTAAGAGACCAGAAACACATTCACGTATTAGAGCCACTGGTTATCACTCCAAACTCTGAGCTTTCCGTCACGTCCTGTACGCTCTACGACTTCCGCATGCTGTATAACATTCTCTACGTACAAAGGTCAGTAAAATCATATTATTCTTCACATATACACATACTTGCGTACAGTATGTAGTCTACAAGGGCTCATAATGTATGCAAAAATAGCTTGTGAACGCATTATCATTATCATAGATTACTATTAAACTCGGGACATACCTGTATATGTATCTTGCAGAGCCAATCCACTGATTAGATTTTAGGGTCATGTGGTCAAAGATCAAAGGGTCATACATGTATATGAGAAATAGCATGTAATCACAATATTCGAGGAACCTGCTAATGGATTATAATTAAACTTAGATAATTGTGTCATTTTTTAACATTTACATGTAAGTGTTCTATGCTTGGATTCACCCCTATTTCTGAATTTTCCATCACTGATAATGTACATGTAGCATTAACACTTCAATTGCTCCCTTTGCCTCTCAGCACAGCTGCTTGTGTGCCACACGTGCAATTTTTCACAAAACGATAGGCTGTTGATGGAAAGATTGCTCTGTCCAATACAATCAATGTCTTTGCAAAGTTACCCATTTCCGGTCTTAATGAGCTCCATGACAACCCTTTTAACACTGGTATAGATTTATCTTGTACTGGAAGCCATTCATATGTCTATCCCATGATAAATGCAATGTGGGACAGGGAGATTATTTGTGTGACATATAAAGAGTTAAGGAATAAAACATCAGCTTTTAATGCTCCTTTTTTTCCCCCCACACTTGCCTTGCAGAGATAAACGGAAACAGCTTTTAGAAAGTTTGCAAAAAAACAAGAAGCGACGGTGTCCGCTCCACTCACTAGATAATCATAAAACAAAGCAAATATCGTAAGTACTCAATTCATACTTTTGCATCGTTGTACTTTGGACTGCTTGACTTATTATCTACTCATTTTATTGGTGCATTTCAAAATGTCACCTTTTACATTCCACAGTCTGCCTGTGACCGGCAGAACAGCATAATTATGATGAACCATGAAAAAAGGCTGTACATTTCATGAAAACAAAATTAATGAAGAATAGTTTCTTAGATGTGTCTGGTGTTGCTTTTAATAGCATAAGGGTTGCAAAGTCAATCTGAATAAATTTGTCATTTCATACTTGACAAAAAATATGAAAAGTGCATGTAAAGACAAGTTTGAAAGGAAATGATATCTATGTGTGTGTCCAAGTAGTTTGGAGAAAACATGGTTCAATATTTTCTGAACCTAGCCAATTTTGTTATTTAATAGACCGGTTTTATACTAACATGTTTAAATTGTATGCATACTTTTTAAACAAAGGTTGTTCTTGACAACCTAAAAGCTTGCAGAGGCTTGTCTACAGATAGCAACAAGACTGGATTCAAATCATTAAAGTTTATTCATTAATAACATGTTAATAGAATACTTTCTCACTAGATCCCCAGGAAAGAAACTTCCATATTTACGAATATGTTTAGTAAACTGAATTATTTGTACAAAGTGAACATGGGTAAAGACTTCATATTCATACAGAGTTCATGATCTTTCTCTTTTAAAAAAAAAAATCCTTTGACAGAGTATGGATAGATGTATGGGAGGTGATGAAGAAACCATGTCGAGAAGAAGTAACCATGCTATCACAAAAAGGGCTCTTACAAATCACAGAGAGTTACCTCCAAAAGCACAGGTAAGTTCTTAAAAATAAAGATCAGTTCTGGTCATGCGATTGCATTGTGAAAGAAACATTGTGAAATCGATCAGAAAAGGTTGATCCTCTAGCGTATAATTATTGTTGTGTACTGTAAGGTTCTGAAATCATCAAAATGATAAGAAATTTGGCCCAGTCTTGGTAAAGTTACAAGCACTGTACACAATAAGATGAAAATGGGACAGCGACACGTGCATGACAAGTGCGCGAGATCTATCAGGTCCAAATAGATATAATAATTTACCAATTATATCAATTAGTAGGCGGTTTCCCGGCAAAATTTGTATCATCACGTATTGGTCAAAACATATTCTTTCACATGATTGGTAATAAGAGCTTCCATTTCATTTTGTTGAGAGGGGGGCGTTTCCAAAACTGGTCTTTACCTTTAATTCACAAAGGCCTGTTCTCTTATGAGGGGGTAAATGGACATGGCACAATAGAAATAATTACATGTTTATGATGTATTATTATAATTGATAATTTAGGATTTATTTAAATGAAAATTATTATATGTTTATACGAAGATGCAGAGTATCTGAACATAGTAAAGGACCCAAGGCATACAGCACTTGTATGTGTGTTGTAAGATACAGAAATGTCTTGCATGCTTTATAATTTAGGATTTATTTAAATGAAAATTATTATGTTTATACGAACATGCAGAGTATCTGTACACAGTAAAGGACCCAAGGCATACAGCACTTGTATGTGTGTTGTAAGATACAGAAATGTCTTACATGCTAAAGCTTATGTCACTATATTTTGCTCCAGCATTTCTCTGTAAGCAGTTTCCAATATTATGTGGGGAACGAGGTGTGAAATGATACACAGGGTCCTGTTTCATAAAACTTGATATCAATAACAAGTTACAAGCTACTGTTATAAGCTACTGAAATCATGGCATCTGATTGGCTGAGAGCAAATTTGTCATAGAAATTGAGCAGTTGTTATAGATAACAAGTTTTATGAAACCGGCCCCAGGTTGTGATTAGGAAGTACATGCATCCTCTGATACAGTTTTTCAATCCAGGTTACAAAGAAAGAAAAATACTTCAATATTTTCGAGAGTGATACAGAACTGGTCAATTTATTTACTGTTTGTCGATCTGCTATCTACAGAATGATGCTTTAGGACAGCAGAAAGGACAATTTTATGCTTCAGATGCTCTGAGACCCTTTTCACAAAGCCTTTTTTCAATGACAAATGACAAAAAATCAGTTACAAATCTGCTGATAACCAATCAGAAGCAAGGATTTCAGTAGCATATAACCAAGTCTGTCATTTGTCACTGATGACAAGTTTGTGAAACGCCCCCTGGTTGTTTAAAACAGTGTCAACATCTTATATTAGTAGTATGACATAGTAATTGAACAATCCATTGCCGTCCTCTCTCAGATTCTGCACAGACTGCAAAGCGAAGGTCATGACAGCTTTCAACATTCTATTTGGCGACATCAAGCCATGCTCGGAGAAGGGTTACAATCCAGCGGTGTACGAGGGACTGAGACTGTGCAGGGAGGAGAAGCATGTTCACCTGTCCACAGATACAGACTTTGTTGCTAGGCTGATCAGCAGGGCTGAACCAGACCTACATGGAGTGTGAGTCATCTTTATATTTCCGTCTAAAGGCATCGTTTAACAATGTCAAATCTGAGATGCATGGCCCAACGTGTTATCAGTGTCTGTGATATGGTCTAATATTGGAGCCCTAAAAAACTTGCGCTTCAAAAAGGTCGTGAAGTGCCTCAAAAAAGTGAAAATCTCTGAGTGATCGGTTTTACCATACTCATTTTTCCCAATAGACTGTAGTGTTATAAAAACTGTTAGTAAAAAGAATTCTGAAATTTCTAATTCCAATCATAAATATCTTGATAATCAGACAGGTGATTGGCTGGTAAAAGTCATGGGATTCATGTATGACCTAAAGCTAGGATTTTTTTTAGAATCTGAGGCAAAGTTACCCAATCCCTTTAAAAACTCGTAGTTTTCTCCTTGCAGCATAGATCTTTGTGTGATCCGTTTTGTTATGGATATAAAAAATATATTTTCATCATGTTATGTGCCTTCTTTTTGTCGCTCAAAACTGCTCCCTTTTTTTTCTCTGTCTGTCTGTCTGTCTCTCTCTCCATTTCTCTCCGTCACTCCTTCTCACTGTCTCTGTCTTTCTCTGTCTCTCTCCATTTCTTTCCATCACTCCTTCTCACTGTCTCTGTCTCTCTCATTCTCTCTCCCTCCACCCCTCATCTCTATTTCACTCATTCATCTTACTAGCTCTTCTCATTTAGCAAGGGGGACCAGTACCCTTATTGAGTAGCCAGTTTGAGTGGGGACAATTCCATTTTTTACAAGACCATCATTTAACGTATCCATAAATGCTATATTTCTCAGTCTCTACCATTAAAGGCTGTCTGTACTATTTTGGCTAGGAGGAATTAGACCACCCACAGTGGTCACCGATAGGTGGCTATCTCATCAACTCAGCTCTCAATTAACATAAGAAAAAGAGGATCATGGGGGAGCAATGGTCACTGATTAGGCATTGTTTTCTATGTAAAGGGAGCAAGTAGCTACAATTAGTACAGTGTGGCTTTAAAGTAAATGATTTATGTCTTTGTATCTTGGATGTAGACGTCGTGAGCGCCATGCCAAGACCATTGACATCGCCCAGGAGGAGGTGTTGACGTGCCTTGGCCTCTATCTCTTTGAGAAGCTGCAGAAGATCTACCAGAAGCTCAAGGCAGAGGAACGAACTTGGGACCTGCTCCTCACCTTCGGCAAGAACAAGCTTCAAAAGGCCTTTGAGGTATTGAACTTAATATTCCGCTTTGATATAGCGCTTAATACATCTACGATGTCATATACTATTACCCCGTTCATTTTGTTATACTTCTATTATTCAAATTTTATATCATATTTTGTGTAATGCTGTATCTGTACACCCAAGATTTTTGTCCTTGGGGGGGGGGGGGGGGGGGAGGGGGGTTGAAAGACCAAATCAATTTTGTAGTTTGAAGATATGCCTTGATAAAGTTATTACAGTCGGGGATGGAAGACCAATAATTTAAACAAGTTTAAGGTTTACCTTCTTTGCTTCTAAGTAGATTTTCTAATTTGTATGACTTTTTCTTGTAATTCTTTCCTTTCTATTTGAAGCGCATAGGGACATGCTATCCTGTAATGTGTTATGCGCTATAAAAGAACTGAGTATTATTATTATTATTATTAATAATAATTTTTGTTGTTTCAAAATATGCGTTGATAAAGTTACTACAGTTGTAGGAACCCTTGCGAGTTTGTGAGGAATTTTATTTATGTCGTGTTTGTTTTTTTCCTCTGAATGAAACCCTCCACTTTAGACAAGCATTAATTTAATAATGTCGCGGCAGGAACCTTGCTAACACTACAACAACATATGAATATGTCAGCACAGTAAAACATGGAGTAATTTTGTTGCAAAAGAATGCAAAGTCTAGATGTAGGTTACCAACAAATAAGGAATGCCACCAATAATATTTGGACTCAAGACTGAGGCACAACTGCTTGAAGTCATGAAAAGACCTATTTTATTTATAAGGCTTGTGAATTTTAAGGAATAACAATACCGGTAATAATGATAATAATAAAAATAATAAAACGGTGCTTATAAAGTGCTTTCCACCAAAGTATGTTAAAAGCAGCTAATCTGTACAATCAAATTGTTTCAAGAAATTTGCTGAATGCTATCACCGACGATGAAGATAACCAATCCCCCTCCCAACAGCAGTTGTTCTTCACGTGTTTGCTTTACTCTGATCTCTCCGACAGATGGCACTAGAAGCCAAGGAAGGCATGTCCAAATTAGAACTGGTGTGTGAAGAAATCACAGAGGCAGACAGGGCCAAGAGGGAGAAGAAAGAGCAGAAGAAACTCAAGAAGAAAGCCCGCAAGAAAAATAAAGGAAACAGCTCACCGGAATCGGAGAAGAATGCCGGTCAAAGGTCAGATGTCGTCATGAAGGAAGTGGAGGTCACCATCGTCCCTCAGGAAGGGTCACAAGAAAGTGTTTATGAGGTGAGTGTTATAAAAGTTTTAGAACTTTGTTGGGTTCACACCAGGACATAGGCCTCCAGCAAGTTATACAATCCTATCAGAGAGGCTATACACAGACCTGCCAACCAGTACGATTTAATCGTATTTCGTACGATTTTTAGAAGCAAATAGGACAGTACGATTTTCCTTAATAAAATATGATTTTCAAAAAAAAAAAAAAAAATCTTTTGTGTGTGTGTGTGCCATTTTCAATGGTTAAATGCCCATTCTGTCATGTAAAGTATCCTACAAGCATCTCACATCGGCAATTTGGAGATGTTCATTGAACACACCAGTCGTCACGAAATCATGCATATTCAACCAATGATCCATAAAAAAATTCTTCCTGTATGTACAAACTGTAAGAGGCATTGATTCGAGTAACAGTCCATGTTTTTTTTAAAGAATACAACTTTTGGCAGTAAAATACAACTTTGGGGATTAAAGAATACAGTTTTTGAACTCCAGAGGTTGGCAGGTCTGTACCAGTATACAGACCACCCATTGTGCTATGATTCAGAACAGGCATGTGCTTTGTTTGTCTACGTATTCATAGCTTATATAGGATTTGTCTTTTGCAGTGTCGTTGAAGTGGTCAGTGATCTGAGAACTGCAAGTATTGAAGCTAATCCTCCTTAGTATATAGATAGAAGAAAAAAAATATATTTGGGACATTCTGGAATTTCTTACTTTTTTTAATATGGTGTAGTTTAAATTAGCTTTTTTTTTAAAATTGAATTTTGTACTTATTGTCACAAACTGGTATATGTTCATCGGTTCAAGCATTGCAGGTGCTGGGTTTGTGAAACCAGCCATGATGTCTTTGAAAAATTGACAGTTTCCAATTCTGAATTCCATAGTACTCTCTTCAAAGGTGATTTTTTTTTTTTTTAATTTTGTATCCTTCAACTTGAAATCCAGGCCGATAGTAACCATTTATTGCATTCTTCCATTTCTCTAGTGTGATCGTCACAGCGACCTCAACGATAACACAGCGAACTTAGAGTGCAGCACGTGTTCTCTGAGCCAAGGCGATGCCGTCCATCATCTGTCCACCTACCGTACGGACAACGGAGACTATTCCAGCGGGGTGGAGTGCGGGGAGGATTGCGGCCAGAGCTCCCGGGAGAGCTCAGAGGTGGCTTGGTCTGAAGGCATGTGTAATCATTGCAATGATGATATCATGCAAGGTGTGTACCAATTTCTCATTTATTTATGTGTTTTTTTTGGGGGGGGGAGGAGGGGTTAATGCCGTCTTGCCCTTCATATTTTTTGTTTTGTGGGTGTATCTTCCATTATTTTCTTTCTGCTTGTATCATTATATATTATATCCCGCATACTAAGAATCTTGCAATCCGATTGGTCTAAACGAGGTCACATGATCAATGATAGATGAGTACTATCTCCCTGCGATAGGACTTTTGTACAGTAATTTTTTGCTGCTGCCCCACTTGCCCATTGAATAAGCGTAGCAAAGTAGGTTACGCGAAATGTCAATGTCAAATGAGCGCGCATCGACTTTATTACACGTATGCATGTTGTGCTTTGTAAAATCTAGCTGAAGCTAAACTGTCTGCAGAATCAGTTCTTTTAATTATGTAAAATTCACTTTAAATAGACCTTATTGCCGATGTGGGATATAAAACAAATATTAACCTCCTTAACTCAGGCAATGGATACAAACTATCATGATGATAGTTTGTACCATTAGTAGTCGATTAATATTTGCTTACTAGTACATTCTGAGCATTCTATATATGCTGAGTTTTGTACAATGTGTACATAAAGTTTCCGCTGTTTCTGCTAATGTATCTGGTATGAATAATTGTTGGGCTCTGAATCGAAAGTAACCTATCCAAACAAATGAAATGGGGGCAACTCTCGTAGACAGGTTGTAGGTTGATAGATATTCAAAGTGACTCAGTAACATTGCCTCAGATTCCGAAACAAAATCCTGGATTTAGCTCATGCTGCTATGACAATTATAATCCTTTAGGTCTGATTATCAAGATATTCATGATTGGAAATTGAAATTTAAAATTTGTTTTCCTAACAGTTTTTATAACAGTTTTTATAACACTAAAGTCTATTGGGGAAAATGAGTATGGTAAAACGGGTCACTCAAATTTTTTTACTTTCTTGAGGCACTTCATGATCATTTCGAAGCGCAATTTTGTTAGGGCTTCATTATTACACCATATCACAGACACTGATAACACATAGGGCCATGCATCTCGAATTTAACATTGTTAAAAGATGCCTTTAAAGTTTCCATGCTCTCTGTTTTTTCTCTCAGGTGATGATGAGATCTGTGAGGACTGTGAGGACTGTGAGGTCAACCAGGGCAATGGGGACGCCATGGTCAAGGGAAGGGGCAAGTGCAACGGGGGTCAACCCCTACCAACGACACCTTGTCCACACTCAGAGGTAAGTGATAGAGTCGGGCATACATTTTCTGCAGTCTTTGAGGATGAAGGCAGTATGCTGCTAAAATATTAGTTCACACGTGCCAACTAGGTCTTTTCTTTCCAACTTGTTTTACCAAATTTTGGGTAAAGAATGACATTTAAAAACAAATCTTGGCTGGAGATCTTGAGACACCTGGGAGGGGGGGGGGGGGGGGGGGGGGGGGGGTGTTTCACAAAGACTAAGATCGACTTTAGGTTAGACTTTACTATGGCAGGCTGTTCATGCCACTAGTTCCTCTAACCATTCTTGACATTGGTTTCTCAAGGGATGTATAAATCGTGGTCACAAATCTACAAAATTTACATTTGTTGATAGTTCATTATTTGACGAAAAAATATTATTTAAAGGTCATAATTGAGAGATCAATAGTGAGAGTAACCAGTGGCATGAACAGCCTGCCATGGTTAAGGTAAACTTAAAGTCAATCTTAGTCTTTGTGAAACACCCCCCTGTATCTTGAGTGTGATGTGAGAATGATAATGAATTATTGATTTATATTAAACATTCCTGCATGACATACTTTATATATTTTGTGACTGAAAGCAAAACGTGGCCAATCAATTGGTGACCAAGCAAATTTACCATTTTAGATGCATTCAGTGTAATCTAAAATAGATTTGTATTCACTGGAAACCTGCACGGACTTGCTTCATCAAATTATCTCATATTCTATCCTTTCGAAGTTTGATTTGTCTCTTTTGATACCATTGATTTAAATCAAATAACTTTTAAAACAAAATGTATTCAAATATCCTGATTTTCACCCTTAAAAAGTTATTAAAACAATTCAAAACATCATTGATTAAAATGACCATTGAGATTCTATCCCCATCCTGCCTAATTCAGATTCTTACATGTTCCCATTCTGTGGTGCTTAATTCCTACAACTATTTCACCCAGGAAATGAAATAATTTCCTCCTCTTCCTTCAATTTCCTGTGTCCTGTGCTATCTTATTTCTGTATTATCTTTTACATTAAGGCGAAGTACAATTCAAAACCACAAATCATTAAGTACATGATAATCCTGTTGGCTACAGGCAACCTAAATAGTAAAATGACTGTGGCACATTCTAAAGGTTCCAAACTTTAAAAGTATTATTTGAGATTTCAATTTGTTTATTGTTTACTTACTGGTTTATTGATTTGTTTCAAGAATTTAACCATAAACATCACATAAATTGTACGGAAAAATTATCTCAATATTTAGTAAGGTGTCATTAATGTACGTTTTCAATAAAAATTTATATGAATTCTATGTGTACATTTGAACAATAATCATATAATGTAAATGCCCTTGTAACATAAAAATTGACGTACAAGTAATTGTATAAAACAACTTTATTTCATCACAGTTGATTGTACCATACAATCAGTGTATTTTTCTGTCACATAAACATTCTCCAAATACTCCCATTGTAGATTATTGGTACAAAGGAGAATAGTTGTAAATCATTTATTATGTGAGAATACAAATTATTCATTAAATCATGATTAATGGATGGAGGGACATGATTTTAGAAAGTTATAATTGATTGTACCTTGTTATGTCACTGGGCCATGGAGTACATGTAGTTTCAATAGAAATGGAAATCCATATCATAATTGCTCCCTATATATTTGCTCCCATTCACTTTTAGACTGATATTCAACATACTTAGACAATTTATTTAGAAGGTGTCAATCACCTTAGAAAATAAGTTGTGTGTAGCTAGAAAGCAGTTTATATCAATCAACTGAAAAATGAGAAGAAAATAAAGGATAACTTAAAAACCTATTCTAATGTTATTTACTACTTGTATCACTCCCCCTCCCTTCAGTCATTCACCTTTCATTCACCTTTCTCCTACCTCCATTATCCCTAGACAGAACCCCATTATTCCTAGACATTGATCCCATTACTTTTTATTATAAACATTTGACCATTAATGACCACCCCAGAGTTAACCTCAAGGATCGAACCACATTCCTAGAACTATGACTCATAGGCCCAAACCCCAGTCACTTGCACCACTCCATTGCCACTCCCCATATTACCATAGCAACCCTAACCATTGACCAATCATAAGCATGTTTAAGTCACCCATCCCAACATTCTTTCTCTCCCCAAAAACTTTCCTTATAGTAAAGTTTGCTAATCATGGGACTTGGATTTCAACCATCAACCGCGGAACATAATACACTATGTGTAATCTCAATTATATACAATGTCATCGCATTGAGAGTTGCTGCACTCTGCCAAATAAATGCATCTCATTTCAACTGTATAAAGAACTTGTATTCAGTCTGTTCATTTAAAGACTCCTCTTCACTAATCCGATCCCAACACGACACTAAGCAAGCGCGAAGGCGTGCATTGACTAGACTTACAGGTTGCCTATCCCTTCATTGATAGAGTATTTCAATTTGAAATAATCTCATTGCAGAAATAATATTTGAAACTTGTATTTTCATTATGGATCATAACATAGAACCCTTAACATACAGAGTAAAATACCATTTGGTGATTGGTGCACTTTAAATAATTACCTTCCCATTGCACCTCTTAAAGGGATTGGGTTATCTTTGCCTCTGATTCTTCAAAAATTCCTGAATTTATCTCATGTTGCTATCATAATTATAAACCTTTAGGTCAGTCAGGAATTCCCTGACTTTTACAAGCCTATTGCCTGTCTGATTATCAAAATATTTATGATTGAAATGGTTTTAAGAACACTACAGTCTATTGGGAAAAATAAGTATGGTAAAACCGGTCACTCAAAGATTTTTACTTTTTTGAAACACTTCATGATAATTTTGAAGCACATTTTTATTTTAGGGCTTCGATATTACACCATATCACAGACACTGATCACACGTAGGGCCATGCATCTCAGATTTGTAAAACTGGATCATTGTTAAACAATGCCTTTAGCGATTGTTTCCTTTTCTCATTTCTACAGATTCAAGAAGACGGGGAGGTAACTCGCAGGTACAGAAAATATGTCAGTGCGCTGATGAAGACCAACTTAGAAGAGCCGTGGGTTGGACGAGCAGGTTACAGGACATGCTTATAGAGGTGAGGCCAGGGACAGATTTCAATTCAATACGTCAATCAAGTCAACAGTCTACTCACCATGTAGAGTTGTCTTGGTCAAGTGGATACGTCACCGGACTGTGGATCACAAGGTCCGCAGTTCAAGTCCCGCCGTGGCACTAATGTCTTTTTGCCTGAAATGAATCTACATTTGCCACACTCGACAGGCGATGTAAATGAGTACCTTGCAGGAATTAATGCCTTGACATGTTAGAGCACCACAATAGCAGCCGGGCTAATAATTGTGGAGCACCAGGAGTGTCAAGTCTGACAGACACGAGCGCTATACAAGAACCAACTATTATTATTTTTATTATTATTATTATTATTATTTGGCTTGGCTAAGGACATCAAATCTTTTCTTTTAATAGAAACATCAAATTTGTATGATACAGGACGTCTCAGAAAATGACACAGGGTTGTGATTGGCAACATTTCAGTATCTACTGAACCAGCCGTGATGAAATTTTGTGGGTTAATTTGTAGGAATATCTCTTCAACTTTGTGTGAACTCAACAAGAATCTATATTCAGAACACAAAGTCATGACAATTTTTGTAAGACGCAGCATTTTTCCAGTGTTGCAAAAAGAAGCGTTGAATAGCATCAGTGCACAATAACATCTGAACATTTTTGCATTGTGCACTTTTCAAGTACTGATTTACCTTTCACTAAAAAGTCAGTTCACCAGATTTGAGATCAGCTGCAAATATAAATGATTTTTACTTTGTTTTGTCCTTAATCCTTCCTTCAGCCTGAGTCTGTGTTAGCCGAGGAGGAGGAGGTTCACATCTCCCAGGAGGAGATCCGAGACTTCCGTGCCAATCACAAATCCGTTCACCGGCAGCGCCAGCAGCTCCGGGCCAAACTCCAACAGCGCTTCAACCGACGCTTCCAGGGGCGGGAACTACCCTTGTGTGCTACAGACTATCGGCTGGGTCAGCTCACTATCGCTGTCGATTAAATCATCAGAGGTTCATCATGTTGGGATAGAGTTCACTACAAAACAAAGCTCTCATCAACTCTTGTGAAGATAGATATAAATTGAATGGAAATTTGCAGGGCATTAGAAGAATCTACAACATTTGGAGCACACATAGCCTTGTGTGGTTATAACAATTTATAACTGAAAGCAATCATGAATATAATTGGGAACAATCAAAAGTGCTCGTCTTCCTTCTCATCATCATTATTTGTTTTGGCCTAGATCTCAATCACAATCCATATTTCTGTGTTGATTCCCGAATCTTGATAAAACCAAGCGATCAATGGAAGAAAAAAGACTTCTGAAGCTTCCTGCTACTCGCTTAAAGCCCCACTACATTACTTATAGCTGCTTGCGCCCTCTATATAGCAAACAATGGCTAATCGGTGCCTGTTGGTCCCCCGTGATCCCCTTTTTCTTATGTTAATTGAGAGCTGATTTGATGAGATAACCACCTGTCAGTGACCTTGTAAGGAGGTCTAATCCCCCTGGCCAAACTAGTGCAGACAGGCTTTAAAGTACATTATCACTAATCCCTTCTCGGCTAGGATTGCCATCCAGTCTGCCAAGAGCCAGGCCTGTTGAATCACACGGATTTGACAATATTCCATCCTGGACCCATTCTCCCATTTGAAAGGCTAGCACAGCCTCACCAGCGTGACCTCAATTTTTTGGTCAACCCAACAAAACTGTCTCAGTTGACCTGCAATCCTACTATTCGGCCACCAGGGCTTTTATCACCAACAAAATAAAATGCCATTTTCCAAGCTTACCAGAAAACAACTTCCAATGGAAAAGAAGAAATTCTCATTATGCAAAAAAAAAGGAACAAAAATGAATAAAGGTAGATGAACTAAAAATAATTAATTGAGGAGAAGGAAGATGAGTTCAGGGTGGAACAACAGATTAGATATTTTGAATGATAGGAACGAGTTACCAAAGGCAAACGATCATGCTTTTAATAGATGCAAATATGCACATCCAGGTGTAACCGTGTAACTGGGGTAACAGATTATGTTGAGATGACTACTGATGCAGTCTAATTCAAACAAAAATATGAGGTGGAATAAGAAAATGAAATTAAATAAAAACATTCCTATGTGATCTAGATACAAAATAAACGAGCTGGTGTCTGTTGAAAGCAAGAGGCATTGTACTTATGCGATTAGGTGAAGATAAATGCTCCATGAATGAATTTGCTTCCAATATGAATTGAAACAGGGCGAGCTGTATGAGAAAAAACTTATGCTATTATTGAATCGAAATGGATAAATGTCATGAGCAGTGCATTAATCAAAATTGTATCAGAGATATTATGAAAAGTATGACTTTTTGCAGTGATAGAAGTGTGTATTTTTGACAGATTATACAGACAGATGATTCTATGTCTCTTTTCTTCCTTCTCTCTGACTCGTCCTTCTCCTCGCTGCCTGAATATGTTTCTTAACCCCCTTTCTCTCTCTTTTCACTCACTCTCTCCCTCTCACTCTCTCTCTCTCTCTCTCTCTCTCTCACTCTACCTCCCCCCCCCCCCTCTCTCTCTCTCTCTTCGCTCAGTCTCTCCCTGTCACTCACTCTCCCTTCTCTCTCTCTTTATCTCTCTCTCTCTCTCCCCTCCCCCCCCCCCCTCCATCTCTTTCTCTTTCTCCATGTGCAATGAAAAGAAACCTCTCTTGAACCGAGCAGTGCAGGACTCTGTTAAAAGCCATAAAGCATATGTATAAAAGAATGCGATTCATATATCGAGGTTGACATGCATTCCAATGGGCATTTATTGTGAAAGTTAAACAAACACACAGCCAGCTGAATTTACATTTCCATTGGTGACAACAGCTTATGATGGGTACTCCATCATCTACAGCCTTCCTTGTTGGGATTAACAGGGGTGGAGAGGGGTGTAATTTGGGATATGGTGTGTATTAAGGAGATCCTGGCCTTTGGAGAACCTTAGTCACACACACAGATCAACCGATTCTTTTCTATCTGGGGTAATGTCATTGTTTCGTTCAAATTATTGTTGGTCTGGAGTTGTTTCTTGGTTTGACTTGGGTTTTGTATAACAATTACTGCATGGAAGAATCCAATACTCTTCATGAAGTATTATAACGAGTCGAAAAACAGTTTCAGAAATGATTTAAATGGTCCCGATACCTTCTCTTTAATAAGGCAATGCTGCAGGACAAAAGTATCCAGATGGTCTGTGGGGGTATATATTACCATGCACCTCTCTCACCGATCAATATTGCAGTGCATGACATGGTCTTTGTAATTCTTATTGATCGGTGAGTTGATTTGATTGCATTTCATGTTAAGAATACATTGACCAATCCGTCCCTGGGCAGTGCATCTCACTTTGTCTCTCCATAACTTTGGCCGGTGTTGTTCATATGATAATGCATTCAAACCTGTGATCTATGAGCTTTTGATAATGATAACGATAATCCTAATTGGATTTATATAGCCTCTTTAAACAAAACACAAAGCGCTGTTTCATGGGAAGTAAAAAATGAGGTCCTTATTGACAGGGGGTCTTTCTATACAGGTGGTCACTAAAGTAAGTTTGAATGTATGGAAATGTTGTATTGAGTAATCCTTTGGTTACATGAAATTGGCAAATGGTCATTCCTAACGTAGTGATCCTGCTGCAGTAGCTGTTTAACGTGCCTTTATCCGGTACATGGTCTGTGTTTAGATGGGCCATGTAAAATCAATAACTGCATTGCTACATCAATAAATAACTGGGATCCAATGTCCGTTTATGTGTGTGCGGGAGGGCTTGTGCGTTAATGAGAGTAACATACATGTTTATTCAGCAACGATAAGTTGCTTCATGAGGATTTGGTTCTCATTTCAGATTTACAAAATGTGGAATTTGTGAAATAATAATAGTATTATTAATAATATTTGTGATAATAATAATAATAATAATAATAGATGCCTTTAAATAATAGCACACGTATTGTACATGTATACTTTACTATGCTTAATACAAAGAATTGTATCATTGACTCGGCTTTAGTTGAGCTGTCGTGATAAAGCACAAACCTATTCAAGGAATTTCGTCATATTGTGAGCCCATTCTCCTCACCCGGGTGGAGAGTGAAAAATAGAGATAAATGTCTTGTCAAAAGACATTAGTACGGTGCTGAGATTTGAACCTTGTACTTTATGGTCCAAGGTGTGGGGACTCATCCACTTGACCTGATCACCTCTCAATATATCATCTGTTTGGAGTGAGAAGGGCGTTATTAAACTTGTATACCTTTAATAACACAGAGTTAATGCCCTTTGGCTCTGAACAGATGAAATCGTACTGTAGCAATACATTCATTAATGAAGTTATGAGGAGAATAATTATGAAATGAATATTTTAAAACTCATTCACAAATGAGGTGAAAAAACAAATTAGAGCACTTCTGCTGCAAAAGAAAATGAGAAACTGGAAAACAGGGTCAGAGTGTGCTCAAATTGGGAGAGTGTCTTTAATGTAATTTTTTTTCTTTTCTCCAAGGAATGATTTGGAGGAAAAAATCAACTTACCCAGAAATTAATGAAAATAGATGCTGTGTTATGTATCCTTAGGAGCAGAATTATAGACATTACATACAAGTTATTATTTTTCTTGTTCTTTTGTTCCCTTTAGAGAATTGCAAGTAGGAATTTGCAGTGCACTCTATGGATTCAAAGCACATATAATACACAGGGCCTGACAGAGATTTGTCCCTTAATAAAAGAGAAATTGTCTAATTAACCGAAAACAGAAACTTAATTTCAAAAGTTTACTCCTTTTAGTGGCTTCAAGTTCATAATATCACTGAAAACAATGTTTTTCTTTTTCATAACGGTAGCCCTCGAAAATAGATTTTATTTCCTACCATTTTTTGTAATGCTCTATGATTGTACGCAGGATTCGGCAAAATATCGGCAGCACTTGTATGTGTATTGTAGATGATGCAGTAGTCTATTTTCATAAAATGTTGTTATTGTATGATGTGAATGGATTCTGTTACCATTACCATCACAATTTAATCAAAAGATTTATTTGAGCAGGGAGGCATCAAACATGGTACTTATTTTGTCAAGTTTGATCCAAAATTAGAGGGAGGAGAGATATATAAAGAGGGAGAAAAAATGATAACAAGTATGAACAGATGTCATATAGAAATTATGATTTTTTATTTCTTGTTTTTCATGTCCTTTCCAAAATATTCAGTTTTTTGTTTGTTGTAAATTCAAAGCGATATATTTAAGATATATTATTATCTGTGGTTCAGGTTGCTGTCTCTGTATTCTTTAGAATTTTAATATATTACCAACTTCTTCAAGGAAAGTGAGCAGAGAAGGAAGAAAAGAGGCTTAAAGTGTGTTTTACTGCAAATTAAGTACAGGTATTAATGAGTCATTATGGTGACAATGAATTATTTCAGGAGCATTGGTTATAATAACATGACAAGCTTCAATAATAAAGCACCAAATTTAATGCAAATTCAATTTTATCCTATGTCTTGTGGTGTATTCATTCCTTGTGGGATTACATAACATGATCGCAAAGACTTTCGAAAAATCAACCTAAGGAATTTTGATGGCCTTTTCAATATCATGACAATGATGTATTGTGTAATCTGAACATAATTTCTATGGAATATACAAAAGGGTAGTGAAATTCACCTTGAGTTGATTTCTTGTGTTTGCGATCCAGTTTACTATATAGCTGCAGGTGTGTGCCCGGCAAAAGGTCGATAAGGGGGATCTAACTGCATCAAACCTATTGGGGATGCTCATGTTTTTCTCCTTTTTGCCTGGCGTACAGTATTATTAGCTGAGAGCCAGAAGGGCGTTAGCTCGAGAAAAACAAAATCATTGTTGACCCCCTCCTGTCTCTCGGGCAGGGGAAACTCTCTCCACATTATGTGGGTTAATTCATATATGTGTGAAGTGAACCTTTTTGCTTCTTCGTTGTTTTTGTTTTGTTTTGTTTTTGTTTGGTGCAAGACCTGGGCACCTTTTAAATTAAGTGAAATTCCAT